TATTTGTCTTACCTCATCTCCTAAAAGAAAGAGTACAGAGTAAGCCATGTAACTCAAGAAGGTAACTTCACTTTGTCTATTTGCTATTGATTGTACCAAGGGATGGAAAAAGTAAACAGCGGCTGGGCGTGGTGGCTCATGCCTGTAATCCCAGCACTTTGGGAGGCCGAGGCAGGCGGATCACAAGGTCAAGAGATCGAGACCATCCTGGCCAATATGGTGAAACCCCCTCTCTACCGAAAATACAAAAATTAGCTGAGTGTGGTGGTGGGCACCTGTAATCCCAGCTACTCAGGAGGCTGAGGCAGGAAAATCAGGGAGAACCAGGGAGTTGGAGGTTGCAGTGAGCTGAGATCACGCCACTGCACTCCAGCCTGGCAACAGAGCAAGACTCTGTCTTAAAAAAAAAAAAAAAAAAAGGTAAATATAGCTCAGGTAGCAGATGTTGGCCCTGTACTGAGTCCCTTAGCCAAGCAGTCTCTTTCAAAGAAGCCAGTGGGCAAAAAGCAGTGACTGCCGTCCAATTTAAATTACACTGTTAAAAGGTGTGTTTTGGGGACTGGGCATGGTGGCTCACGCCTATAATGCCAGCACTCTGGGAGGCTGAGGCAGGTGGATCACAGGGTCAGGAGATCCCTATCCTGGCTTACAGGATGAAACCCCATCTCTACCAAAAATACAAAAAATTAGCCAGCCGTGGTGGCACCCACCTGTAGTCACAGCTACTTGGGAGGCTGAGGCAGGAGAATCGCTTGAACTCAGGAGGCGGAGGTTGCAGTGAGTTGAGATAGCGCTACTGCACTCCAGCCGGGGCAGCAGAGCGAAACTCTTCTCAAAAAAAAAAAAAAAAAAAAAAATTACTGGGTGAAAATATATTGACTATGAATAGAGAGCATTTTGGAAAATCTTATGTGACCTTGAGACTAATGTATTTTTTAGATTGGCGTAAAGTACATGGGGAGAGTTACTTTGTAAGGTAACTAACAATAAATCTGTAAGAATGCTGAAGGTGCTTGAAATTAGAAGGAATATGAATTTGTGGTGTTCAAGTGCATTTAAGGGTTTGTGGGAAATAGGCCACTCTGGTATTCTAAACCTTAGTAATGTCTTTCAGCTAACATTTTAACCAAGAAGGAGCATTTCTGCATATTTTTAAATTTTGCATACTCATACTCGAGTAGGATTTAACGCGGAGTCTAATAACTTCCAGAAATGATTCAAAATTGAGTGATCGTACATATGGATTTTTTTTTTTTTTTTCCTGGACTACACTGTTTTCATCAAAATTTCCAGGCTCACTCAGAAAAGATTACACCAATATGATGACTAATCCTTTGTAAATTGGAGCACTGCTGCCCTCCTGTGGACTGTTAGGGCATCTGACAATCCCTTCCTTACCAGAACAACCAGAGGCACTATTCAGAAGTTTCAGTCGTTGCTGTGATTCCCAGAAGACATTTTAAATTTCATTTGAGATCTAGTATAAGACTAACCCTATTCTGCTTCTTCTGTGACATCAATTATTTTTGTTTGACACAGAATCTCCTGTCACCCAGGCTGGAGGTCAGTGGCACAATCACAGCTCACTGCAGCCTCAACCTCCTGGGTTCAAGGGATCCTCCCAACCTAGCTTCTCCAGCAGCTGGGAGCACAGGTGTGCGCCACCATGCCTGAATAATTTTTGTATTTTTCTGTAGAGACAGGCTTTCTCATGTTGCCGAAGCTAGTCTCGAACTCCTGGCCTTAAGCAATCCACCTGCCTCAGCATCCCAAATTACTGGGGTTATAGGCATGAGCCACTGTGCCAAGATTAACATTTTTAAAAGGGTTTTAAATTCTGTCCCTTATTGCTTAAATATTGGAGAAGTATCATATTGTGGATCTGTGGTCAATAAACAATTTTTCCTTCCTTCTCACTTACATACCAGCAAAATGTGAACAAATTGCCACAAGTATAGATAACATTTGAAAAAGCCACCCGTCCTGATTCCTGACTTGATAGTGCATAGCCCAAGGAAACCTGTACAGAGGTAGTAAAACTGATGTTAGGAGACTCCACCTCCATTTATAGATTTACCTCCCTCATGTAGCTTTTTTAAAACACTAAACTATTATTATATGCTGCAGTGGCAAACCCTGTGCCAAACTACTGTAAACAGGAGCCCCAGTATCCTGGTGCTTGGGGCTTGGGGCTTCATTGAGAGAGAATTCTAGGAACAAATGCTTACAGAGCACTTCAGAATGGTGTTTGGGAAAATTATCTATCATCCGATTAACCTCCTTCACCTGAAAGGGTTCCTAGGAAAAACACTCCGTAAATTTGTATTTAAGTTGGGACTCAATGATTAGAGAATTATTTGGTTAGGAACTCATAGCATCATGCTTCTCAAGTTTTAGTGTGCTAGTGAGTTACATAGTGATCTCCTTAAAAAGAAAATTCTGATTCAAAATGTATCGATTAGTGCCTGAGTTTCTGCATTTCTAATGAGTTCCTAAGAATTGCAATTTGTGTGGGCTGTATAATGGCCTCCAAAGATATCCAAGTCCTAATATCTGGAACCTGTGAATGTTACTTTATATGGCAAAAGGGTCTTTGCAGATGAGATTAAGTTAAGAAAACTGAAGTAGGGAGATTATCCTGGATTATCCAGGTGGGGCTCTATGTAATCACAAGGGTCCAAGAGGGAGGCAGAGGGAAATTTGACTGTGTTAGAAAACATTGTGGCCACTGAAGCACAAGGCTGCCCTCCTGGCTTGGAAGACAGAGGGAGGGTGTGCAAACCAAAGAACGCAGCTCTAGCAGCTGGAGAAGGCAAGAAAACCTGTTCTTTCCCAGCACTTTGGAGAGGGAGGGGTCCTTGCAGTCCAGTGAGCTGATTTCAGGCTTCTGACATCTTTAATTGTAATAATAAATTTGTAATAAGACACCAAGTTTGTAGTAATTTTTTAGGGCACTCACAGGAAACTAACAGACCAGTGCTGGGGGCCCTCAGACCACACTGAGTAGTAAAGCGTTTTAGGAACAAGACCACAGAAGAGTGGCTCTCAGCTTTAAAAACCAAAGTGATGTCCAGGCCCACTCCCAGACCAGCAAAACCAGAGATTGTAGGGATGGGGCCCAGGGATCACTAACTTAAAGGCTCTTTGGCTGAACTGAATAGGAAGATAGAGTAGGGCACCATCACATGAGAATAAACAACTTTTGTGTTCAAGGAAAAGTTGAACAGTGTTGAACAAGCTCCATCGAAGTATGGACACACTCGTCTGCCAGATACTCTTGTGAAACTACACCAGCTCTCAAAGTGAATGTCTGGACCGGTATCTTACACAAAGAATTATCCAGTTCTAGACTTATTTCTGTTAAACCTAAATTGGCCAAAGATTTGATTTGTCCCATCCACATTTATTAAGGATTCATCAGTGTTTACTTCCATAGGTGGGACGTGCCAGTTCGACTTGCGTGAGGCTTGAGGGTGCTATCAGTTTAGTAACGCTCCCCACTTATCATTTTTTTTTTTCATTATCTGTTAACCAAGACCCACTTATAAATTTACAGCTAAAATATCTGATAAAATTTAGGTAAGCAGGACATATGCCCTACAAAGCATTTTCTACCTAGGTCAATAGCATGGCTTCATAAACCTCATTCAACATGTTGTCTACAGAAGAAACATTCTACATAATTACCAATTTATTGTGCAAAATCACCTCAGAATGGCAATTTTAGGTAAAAAGCTGTCCATATCCATAAAAGATGAATAAAAGCTTGAGAGCCACCTCAGTAACATTTTGCTTCTGACCTAGCAATGTAGCACTATTTAAGCATTCAATGAGTGCCATAAACTTATTTTATGGAAAAGACATGGCAAATCATTGTTTTTGTGCTTTGATGCTGAAGTGGATTTAGCACTTACTCATTTGAGAACCTCGTGAGAGCAAAAATCCATGTCTTGTTTATATTTGCAACACCTAGGCTGGAGCTTTGAGCGTGGTGGGTGGATCAAAAACTGTTTAATCAGTAGGGCGTACAACAGACCCAAAGATGTCAGACCTGTAGATATTTAATACAATTGCAACCTATCTCGGGGGAAGTGAATAAAACAATACAACTTAAGGTCTTAACACCAGCACTGAGGGTCTTCCCACCACCACATCTTGGGGATTAGAACATGGATTCTTCCATCAACAGCCTGAAATAGCACTGCAGCTGCAGTGAGGGGGTGCAACACATGCACTGGCAAATCTTCCCAGCAAATGCTACTTCCGCCCCCCCATTCTCAGCCCACTGGGCAGGGCAGCCATCTGGGGGAAAACTGTGGCAGGAGGTTGGGCTTAGAAAAGGCTTCCTAGGTGGCTGATTTGCCATCATTTATTGCCAGCCACTGGTTTGAGAGTTGTACTGCAGGTAGTTCATAGTCAGCCATGCACCTCCTGGGCAAAAAGCCTGATCAAGGGGCCACAGCCTGCCTTCCTGAAGATCCTACAAGCTTGATCCCCTATCAAGTCAAATCTGGCTAATCTCTGAATAGCTTTACAAAACTGGCTCGCCTTGTTTTCAAGTGTTGACATAAACTAACAGTCAAAAGCACCATTCAGTCTTTTACAACACAAGTGAAATCAGTGCTGCGCCCCTTCAAGGAACCATGTGACAGTGTGTTCAGTTGAGCACAAGTTCCTTGCAGCAGGAATTGCTGGCAGAAGGGCAGTGTCTACAGCCGTGTGGAACCAAGGACAGTTTTGCCATTCAATAGGGAGCATCCCTCAGCCTCTTGATCTTCATCATTTCTTCTCTTCCCTAATCTTTTCTCTCATTTTATTTCTTGGCTCATAGAATTTCATTCTTGTCTTAATGGGTTTCATTTTTAATGTCTGCCTTGCTGTAACCTACTTCAAATTCTTTATGAAGTAGGCAAGATCTGCATAGCAAATTAATTTTTCAGGACCCACTTCTCATAGTCACAGAATTATGAATGGAAAACAATAGATGAAAAACACAGACATGATAAACTGAACATAGTATTTATTAAGGTCAGGATGCATGAACAGACTTCTCAATAGAAAGGTAATTTAACAGCAACCAATTTATAGAATTTATAGCAGTACTACATTTCGGCAAAATGCAACTGAGAACATCAGATAAATTACAGTAATTTGTTTTTAAAAATCCATTAAACTATCTCTTACCTCTGCAATAATGTATCATACATGCAGTTAAAGAAATTAGTAGGGAAAAGCGTGATCTTCCTTCCCCATTCTCTGCCCATCCATCTTCCAGGAAACCACAGGCTGCTGCTGGCCAGACTTGGCATGAGGCTTCGAGGCTGCTGCTTTTCCCCCTACATCATAACCGATTTCAAATGGTGCTAGACAAAAACAGACTCTGAACACCAGGAGAAATCGGTCAGCCTGTGTAAGAGATGGGCCAGTGGTGCTCCCAGGGTCTGCACCTCGACAGTACAGGTGGCAAGTCTGATTTCGGGTGCCCTGCAATGGATGCTGAATACTCCAGGGCATCCTCTATGAGTGGGCTGACAGTGCCGATGTGGACGAAATGGTCCTCCAGGTGTACCGCCCTCTCCTTTGCCCCATGACAATACTCGATACATTGTTACCCAACGGAATATGACAATCAACACACCCAAAGGCCCTACCAACACATTCGTGCTGGTGACAGCTGCTAGGAGTCAAAATAAATAGCATCACAACCTCTGCCCCTGAGCAAACCACTGTGTTTATTTTAAACACAACCCCCTCCCCTACTGTCGCCCCTCCCAAAACCCAACAAACTCAAGAGTATATTTTGCTCTTCAAGTTCTTCCCTGGACTTCTTGAACAGACTCAAGTGGCAGGAGAGGAGGAGCCAGTCCCATGAGCAGCAGTTCCTCTGCAGTCCACCCTTGGCTGTGCTGCAATTCTTACTCCTAAAACACTGATTTCAAATGGTGCTAGATACAAAGATGGAAAAATCTAAGCCACCATGTGAAACCAGCTTCCAGAAGAAGAGGATCTCACTGAAGAAAGAAGAGAGATTCAATCAGAAGACCCAGCCTCTGCCCTGAGGAGAAATGTCTTCTTCCAGTTCTACTTGTGATATGACACAGTGCTCCTTGGGAAAGGCATAGAGGAGGTTACACAGGGCTGTGCAAAGTAACATGAACGTCACAGCTGATGCTTCAAATAGATGAGAGTAATATAAAGCTCATTAATTCTAGGTTAATTCTATTTAAATTCACAGCCAGTCACTACAAATTATATATATGATGAAATGGCAAAATTATTATGAAAATGCATTAATATTTACATTCGAACTACCTTGCATTTGCACAGTATTTCACAGTATACTAAGTGTTTCCAGGTATATTACCTTACTTCATCAGGTCACAAGCACCCTATCTGCGTGTGGATGGAATGAAGCTCTAGCCTACACAAAGGTGAGCCTCACCTGGCTAGGGCAACTCTTCCATGCGTCTTATTTGAGAAGAGCATGCATTCCTCCTTCCCACCCCATATGTAACTATCAGAACATTCAAATATGACCCCGTCAATTTGCAATCTTATTTAAACTCTGATGTGACTTTAAAAACTGGTACCCCATAATTTTATCAAGGAGACAATCCTCTAACATAAAAGAATTGCATTTTATTTTCAAAATCTGCTTGAAAATAAGATTTGCGCACCATATTCCAAATTAGATTTCCCATCTCCTTACTGCATCATCTTTTTCGGTTGTTTGAAGCTAAGAAAAATATGTGTATTTCCTCTGATACCATAACCAAGAGAAAAGAGACAGAACAGAAACTATCTTTTAGGTTCCCAACCAATTCTTCAGGCCTCTAGATACAGGCTTATAATTTTTATGGTTCCTGGCAGTAACAGTATGTGTCACTAGAAGGAGAAGTAAAAAATAGAATTTGAACATCAAAAGTTGTGGTATTTCGTTCTCACAGCAGTCGTATGGAGCAGGAATTATTCCAATTTTTGCAGAAGAAACTTATCCTTAATGAGGCTAAATAACTTGTCTGCAGACACACAACCAATAAAGGCAGACCTCAGATCTAACTCCAAAGACTGCGACCCTGCGCCTGCACCCACTGCAGCCTGCTCCATAACTTGAGTATCGTCTCATTTTGTTCTTGAACTTCATTAAGAACCAAACAGGCTGGGTGGGGCAGGGAATTCCCAGGCAATACTTCTGCACTGAAGGGGGATCATACTGACTAGACAACACGTTATACTTGGGCAGAGAGAGGAGCGTGATCTGGGCTCTGCGAAGGCCAGGTGGTCTGGGGCAGCTTGCTTTGTTCTCCTCTGGCGCCTCTGCCGTTTTTCTCCAGCATGGCTGTGGCGTGGGAAAGACGCTGAAGATGAACCTGCAACAAGCGACTCTGACACCAGTGCTAGGCTCTGCGGCCCACCGTGGGACTGACCAGCCTCAGTCACAGGTGGCAGAGCTGGGGGCAGATCTGCACACAAGGGCTCTCGGTGATGACACGTGTAGCCAACACCTGGGCCCTGTTAACCAGGAAACAGCGAGGGCTGTAAGGTCAGGAGTGAGTGTTTAAGGGCAGTCATTACTAGGAGTCCAAATCCTGTAAATTGAGGGGATTCGATGAGATTCTTTTCTGCTTTTCATTTCGGCCACACTTTTCCTTATCAACTTCTAATTGCCAGTATCCACAAACCCCTCCCTATGAGCCCTCACACAGGTGTCCTGCGGTGATCCGGAAACCACCTTCCACAATAGAGAGGCCTTGCTTAAGCTGTTATCTCTTCTGGAATACTCTCTCTCACCCTCCCATAGCTACCACCCCTCGGCCCCGCCTCTACCCACCGCCACTCCAGGGAACCCCAGTCAACCTCCCTTCAGCTCCGGAAAGCTTCCCCAAGTCTAGCCCAGCTTGCTAGAAGGTTAAGTCGTCCTCGCCAGCCTCAAGTTCTTGACGCCACTTACCTCACTTGGTCGTCAGTGTGGTTAGTTAATGTCTCTCCTGCAACCCATAAGGGACCATCTGGAGTCAAGCAGAGGGGCTGCACATATCAGGGGGCCACTGCCACTGAGGGAGCTAACAGAAGCCAGAATCTGGGTCCCCACTCCTGGATTCTAAACTTTAATTCTTAACTCTCTGGAAGAAGAGATGAGAAGCCATTAACAATGCATGACTTTAATTAAACCCTCCAAAAGAAGAAGTGGAGAAAAAGTCATGTTAGTACTGAAATCCTTTGCCTTTCCAATTCCACTGGATAAAGGTCTAAGCCTTCCCAACAGAACCAGTTTTCTCCTCTGAGTCAGCTGAGCAATGATTCTTCTCTGAAACAAGCTGGTGGCTGTTCCCTACTAGGAAGCAGCCGGTTAGTTTGATAAGGGCTGGAAGAGGCTTGCTCTCCCTGGCACCATGCCAGAAGGCCACCTAGACCTGTAAGAAGGCAGCCCATGAAAACCCCAGCCTGCTAAGGGCTCTGCCATCCAAGTAGGGTGATGGGTTTTATCTGCCTCAGCCTAAGGACTCTAAGCAAACTGGCCGAAAGTGAAAGGGTTGGCAGGGCTGCCTGGGGAGAAAAACCGCCCACTCGGAAGGGTGGGCATGTCAGTCTTGTGAGTGCTGCCATTCAGGGAAAAGGTGTGGGAGGTATACTCCATCCTGGTCCATTTCTGTGCCCACACTCTACCTGGAAGCTTCCTCTCACGCCAGGGTGTTTTCATCTCCCTGAGCACACAGTGAATGAGAACACACAGGTTTTAATACCTGCTCGGCCCTAATTCTGAGAACAGGGACCTGCCACTTGCCCTGAATGGGCCTCAGTGTCTTCATGTGTAAGGAGAGGAGGCTGAAGTAGACTGCTCACAGTCATTCAAATGCTCAGAGGGCTCGGGCAGGAAACCTGAGACACAAAAGCGGCAACAGCATGCAGCAGAAATACAGTGTCCTAGAGAGGCCATATTTTGTGTAAACGCATGTAAAATCAGATACATTAAAATTACTCTAGCAGGCATGGTGTCAGGCACCTGTAGTCCCAGCTACTCAGGAGGCTGAGGTATGTGAATTGCTTGAGCCCGGGAAGCAGAGGTTGGCTGATACCGTGCCACTGCACTCCAGCCTGGGCTACAGAGTACAAACCTGTCTCAAAACAAAAACAAAAACTAGTGCAGGCCAAACACATCAAAGGGTTAAATGTAATCTATAGCTGTTGGTTAAAACAGTTTGGAGATTGCAAAGATAGCTTCTACTTCATTCTATAAATGACGCTTTGTCTTTAAAGCCTAGCATGATACCTAAAAAATAACATGGGAGGAAAATGGGAAGGTGAGGGAATCCTTGTTTATGAAATCCGTAAGCAAAGCCACTGAACAGACAGACCCTGGCCCCCAGATGCCTAACCCTGCTGGCTTGTGCTGTGCTACCAGTGTGTGCAAATCCAGAAAGTGGGAAGTTCTGCCAAGGCAGCGCTGGGTGCTGAGTCACAGCTACTTACGTGACTGATGTGTGTTCCAGCCAGATGGGGGGAGCCGGAAGCCAAGCCCAGATGGCCATCTTCTTCCCTCTGGGAATGCTGATTTCAGGGATCCTGGCAGTGAGGAAGAGCTCATCTTGGTGAGAGAGGGGTCTGGGGAAGGCTCTTTTGAAAAAGGAGAATGTCTTGCCCTCCAGACAGTCCCAGGCCATTGCATGTATAAATTGAAAGGCCAGCCCAGCTTCCTGTCATTCTAGGCAGCAGCCTGGACATTGTGTCTTTAGCTATCAGGACAGGGACTGTGGTTAATGAATCAGAGAGAAGGGTGATAAAAGGAAGGGTATATGCATGAGGGGCCAAGGGTGGAGGGGAGGGAGCATGGAGTTACTAGCTGGCCCAAAGTCCCCAGAAACCTCCATCAGGCTCTTCCTTCCTGGCAGGTTGGCCTTCCAAGGAGGACTCAGAACCCAGGGACCACTGCATTTCCCAGGCCCTGAGTCCCAGTGTGGGAATCACATCCTCCAAACCCACAGTGCCCCTCAAATTGCTGCTCACGTAACAAGGCAATAAGTAACAGGCTTCTAAGCCTACGTGGACCCAGCATCAGTTCTTCTGGCTTCCCCTGGGTCAGAGGTATGGAGATCTAGGTTCCTAGGCAGCCACACTCCTAAAAGTTCAGTTTTCTGTCCCTTCCTTAACACTACTGACAAAAAACCCAGCCTCAGTCCCAGCACAGGGGTCCTGGGTTGGGACTGCTGGCTGGATGGAAGGTTGCACCAAGGCTACCCTGCCCCTGGGATGAGCTAGGGGGACAGGAGGAGATAGTGGAAGGCAAAGGGAAGGAAGAGGAATGGAATGAAGACTGGAGCCCGGGTGTCTCCATGTTCCCCCAGTAGAAGGGCTTAGCTCTGGCAGAGGAAGATGGGCATGGCTGAACTGCTTTCAAGGAAGCTAGTGCTTTCTGCAAGAGGAAAAATTATGCCAATGGTCTATTACACAAACACAATGCCCACCAGACCAAACCAATGCAGATCCAAAGGCAAACCACCAACACTGCTCCCTGGTCATTCCTAAATCATCTGCTTGACCCAGTGGAAATGGACTAAAAAGTGCATAGTTTCAGGTGAAACTGAAACTATGGTGAGATGCCCCAAAGCCCAGCTTCCCCACCTCCCCCAGGCAGAGCTGGATGACCTCCTCCTTCAGCTACAGAGAAGTAACTAACAGATGCAGTATCCTACCAGGCACCACACTCACAAGACGGCATGCCTGCTCTCGCTGGGAGAAGCATGTTCCTGTTCCCAAGAGCTCTTCCAGAGGCATGCCCCAGCCTCTGCAGCACAGCCTCTGCTCCTCCCTGGAGGGAGAGCACAGCATCTCAAAGGACAGAGCATTTCAACACATCAAACACCCTCCACAGAGCACAGTCCAAGGTGGGCACCAGGAAGCCCAGGGTGCTTCCTGAACTAACCTCCAAGTGGCAGTTCTCCCCAGTACCTGGGCACTCACCTGGTCCACACACATCGACTGGGCACACTCTGTGATGTGATGTGGTTCCAATTCCCTAACAGAAGGGAGGGAGGCTGGGCCGGACAGAGGGTTGGTCTGAGTCCAAAGCCAACTGTGAGCCCACTTTCTCTCCTTCCACTTTGATTGGCCCAGCTGGTAGCTGCACCTACAGTGCTATTCCAGCCTCATTCTGTTATCAGCACCTCTGTCTGCTGGGCTCAAGAACAGTGAGTGGCAAGAGAAGGGAGGAGGAGGAGGGAGGACAAACGAGGGAGGAAGGAGGAGAGAGGAGGGAGGAGAAAGGAGGGTGGGAGGATGGGAGGGGCGAGGGAGAAGAGGTGGAGGAGGAAGTTTCACAGTCTACTGCATTCCCATCAGATCACAGAGAAGGGAACACGTACAACTTCCCCTTTCAAGCTCTTCTCTGCCCTCGCTTTTGTTTCAGTTCCTTCCCCTCTGGCCTGGGGATGGCGCGGCTAGTGGGCTATGCAGGGGCAGGCACCCAGGTACCCAGCCAACTGGGCTCTCGCCCGGCTCCATCTCAGGCCTGGCATGCTCCCTCAGGCCATTACCCGGCATGCCCTTCTCCTTGTCAGGGAGGCCGCGCCCTCTTGTTTTCAAAGTTTTATAACAGTATTGTTTGTTGTCCAGCAGATTAAATTCTTTGGAGGCTGGGGAGTTGAGGGAGAGGGAGTGAGAGAGAGGAGGGAAAAGAGAGAAGGAGAGAAAATACAAATAACTTCTATTAGGGCCAAAAGATTAAAAGAGTTTGCTTCTTAACACAAAGTTAACCTGTCTTGGAGACAGGCTAGCAGGCAGAAGCCTGTGTTCCCTTCTTCTCTGTCGACGCCTCTCCTCTCTGACACCCTTCTTACCTAGCAGGGGATGAACAGTCTCACACTTCCAACACCACTCCTTGGGTCAAGCTGAAAAGCAGTACCAGCTAATAAGGTTGGAAGATGCATGTGTGAGCACCACCCCTCCCAGCAGGACACATGATGTGGGGTTGAGCAGGTCCCTGCAAGGACATCCTAGACTCTCATCTCAGGCATCTGGCTGAGAAACAGTCCAGGTCTATGGGGGAAGTGCGTCTCCAGGCAGCTGCCGGGGCCCCTGTCTTAGAGATGGCTCATCCCTGCGTGAGCCAGTGGTTTGTTTACACTTGAAATCAAAGTCACACATTCATTGATGCCAATGACACTAGAAGAATGGTACCCCAAGGAAATAACAACACAACTGCATAAATATTCACGTAGACCTAAGCAATAAGAAAGAGTGGAAAATAGAAACGAAAAGAGAAAAAAGTCACTACAAATAAGCATCATCTTATGGACAGGACCCATTTCACTGCCCTCAGCCTGTCAGGCCTTTTGATGCTAAATCTGTAGGTGATGACACAAAAGAATATATGATTTTCCATATTTAATACAACTCTCATTTAGCCATTAACTGATTTATTTCAGACTCTGGATTACCTCTAAATAGTATGCCCAATTGAACACATCCCTGTGCCTTTAGTATAGCAGGCAATGCCTGTGGCTCCCAGAGTTGAGGGCCTGCCCTGAGATGTTCCTCTCCCACCTCCTACCTTCTTCCCGGCAAACCATGTCTGGCCCTGTGTCCTCTACACTTCCCTCTTCCCTCTCTACTATAGGATTAGAGCAGCTCAGGGCTCTTTGCTGGAAAAGATGAGGGACAACGTGCCTTTCTCTTTTTTTATATGCAAATAATACCAGTTCCTATAAGATCGGTACCAGAAGTTCTCTCTGCAAAGGGAAACGAGGTCAAAGTTCCAGATTCAGTGACCATATTGGTGCAGCCTGCCCATGCATCTCCTCAATTCCACCCAGCTTGGGCTTGCCTTGAAGGCGGAAGGCAAAAATGGAGAGAGATGCCTGCTGTAGATCCTGGCACCCACACCTCATGCTGATCCAGGGACCATCTCGAAGTGCCACGGACTCAGGACTGGGAGGATCCTGTGGAGCACACAGCTAGTCTCCTACCTCAAATAAAGAGGCTTCATGTTTCCTCAGGAACCCTCAGCAGAAGTGATGCACAGTTCTCCCAGAAGTCCAGCCCAAATCACCCTCCTTGCTGTAAGTTATGCCCATTCTCTTTTCCATCCTTCAGGTGAACTGAATGAACTGGGTCCAACATGACAAATCTTCACACATGAAGCTACAGAAACCTTCACTCACTAAAACAATTCTGCTGTGGATTCCCCAACACTTCTATAGGAACCAAAAATGCATTCAGGAAATACAAAAGGACAGACATTCAGACACACACATGTACACTGCCCTTGTCCAGCCTCCATCGTCCTAAAGGAATACCCCCCAAAAAAGCCTAAACCATCGTGGCTAAATTAGCTGTAAATAAAGATAAACCATTATTTCCACCTTCATACGAGTTCTGGGTCTATTCAAATAAAGGTCACTCAGAGGGCTAACTGGCCAAGAAGTCCTGCTGTCTAGTACTCTGCCTCAGCAGCCCTTATAAAGAGTGGGAGTTATGCTCTGCCTTTAAGGAAAACTGACACCCATGAGTCAGTAGGGCTTACCCACCTTTCTCTCTGTGGGTAAGCCATGCTTTTTCAAGCCAATCATGAGGCAGACTCTCAGAGCTGAAGCCACTGTTTCTAGTCCCTTACTTTACATTGTACATTAGCCAAGGCTTCCAGCAGGTACTGTACATTAGTCAACAAACAGGTAGCATACACACAACATGCATGCTGGGCAAGGCTCAGGGCATCCCTTACAAATGTGTTGGAAAAATCTCAAAGACCCCACACTGGGCCTCATCTCTAAGTGAGCTGGACTCAGCAGAAGCATGCCTGTGTGCACAGGCGTGAGGTGCCATACAGATATGTCACAGTGGTTTGATGCATCACATATTCCAGAAGCTTCCAAATTCAGGAAGCCTCTCCAAGAATACATGGTGAGTGGCTGGCTTCCCAGCCAAGAAGTGCAAGCCAGTTCTCACAAGAACTCCAAAAAGTCTAAAGAATCAAAGAGTTGGAGACCTGGACATGCTGATATTTCGTTTCCCTGTCAACATATAGAAAGGCCCTCTAAGGCCTTCAGAAATTAAGGAAACTGCTGAAGACTCCATTCCCCTATTCCTATCCCTGCTCCACTAATCAGAACCCAGGGAAATGACAGCTGAAGTCAGAAGACCTGGGTGGGAGATCCACGAGAAACAGCTGCAAGCAGTTAGATCTTGGCAGAACCGATTCTCTGGCTCAGTTTCACCAACGACAAGGATAAGACCACCTAACCTCTCGGGGTTGTATGAGGACCAAATGAGCCAGCAAGTGTGAAAAGAAGTACGTGATATGATGGTTATGACTCCATTCCTCTCCTGCCTGAGTCCCAGCCCAGATGGCTGTTTGCTATTCCATACTGGCAGTGGGGTGGCACTCAGCTATTATTAATCCCAGGTAAACATCCCACAAAGTGGCAAGCAGATAGTGTCTTAGAGAAATGCAGCTATTTTAAAACTCTATATTCTGCTTAGCAGATTGCACAGTGTGCCCCCTCAGCCCTAGGGGCTCCTACCCACACAGCCTTGGAGCAGTGGTGGACGTCTGGAACTAACACTGCCATGGGGAAGCTAGGACAGAGTCCCACCCACTCCTAGCCCCAGTCTGGCCGGGCCTGGGACCTTGGGCTTTCCCACATGTGTTTTATTTTGCTATCTTTTTAAGAGTGACTCAAGACTAAAAAGCCAAAATGGAACCAGTGACTGAGATATTTTTGTTTTTTTTCTTTTTTTGTCATTGTCATTTTTAAAATTTAATACTTTAGTTGAGGGCCTCAAAAAACACGTGAAAAGAAAAGGCTAAATATAAAGGAAAACTTCCTGACAGCAGGGGGCACAGACCCTCTAACAGATGCCCTTCCTCAATCTGCACAGCAGCATTCTCTCCAGGGTTAGAGCCAGACGGGACGGAGCTTCTTTTCTAGAGCAGGGTCTCTTGGGTTAGCTCCCTGCAGGACGGCAAGAGGCCCCAGCAGCTCCCACATGCCCCATCCCCAACAAGCCTCCCAGGGAAAGCCCGCAGCCATGTCCCTTGCCACCTGGTGGATCTTCATCAACACCTTCGTGAAACCTCCAGCTCTCTGCTTCCACTTCTGGGAGATTCTTCAAAAACTACCTTCTTCCACCCACCTACCCATGCTAATTCCCACAGTGCCTCTTCAGCTGCTCTGAGATAGGTCATCAAGATCCCCTGCCTTCTCTTGTGGAAACCTGGGCCTAGTTTTCCTCATCCTGAATTGTTGGCTAAGAAACATTTCCATGAACATCCAGGGAGGCCCCAGGATATAGCTGGAACCTCCAAAGAGATTCTGGTTCCACTGCCTCATTTCATAGATAATGAAACTGGAGCTCAAAGGAGGAAAGTGAGCTAGGACAAGAATCGAGGTCTACTGACTCCTTAACACAGAGCAACATAAACCCCACTTTTCCTGACCTTCCTCCTCTCTGAGCACCCCTAACTATACTATCTCATTCCTGTGCAACTTCAGACCCCTGGCAGCAGATGGCAGTGTGGGCAGTCCCGGTGGGTCAGCTGTCCACGATCAGCCAAGGAGCGAAGAATCACATGGCCTGACTCCACAGGGCCACCGCCTCTTCCACCAAGTAAACAAGTCCCGAGCCCTGGAGCCCATGCGCTGAACACATGACACATGCCTGCCCTGTCCCAGCACCACCAACCTGCCTCCACCTCTCAAGACACAGAGCTCAACCAAGCATCCGGCACAGGCCACTTCTCTGCCTGCTGCCCAACCCTTCCCTATTGCATGACCATTAGCTCTGGGAATGGCTCATTCTGACAGGACAGGCTAAGCTCAGAACCACCTGCAGGAACGTTTGACCAGTGGCTTGGCAAAGACCTAACCTGCACATTTCCCTGTGCTGCATGGACAAGAATAGGGTACAGGGACCAGGCTGAGGAAAGAAATCAGCTGGTGCCTGGGACGGCATGAGGCGGGAGGGCGTGAGGCAGAAGGCCAAGGGCAACCGTGGCAGACGGGAGAAAACCAGACTGCTGGAGACCAAAGGTTTGACAGGTACTCCACCTTGATTCCTAACTCACGACAAGCTCCTGTAAGCTATTATGGGGACCCTGGACACATTTCCCTAGTTATTAGGAAAAAAGAGAGGGTTAGTCTGTGTTAGTCCTAACTCTCTGGAGGAAAGCATAACTGATGTGGCTTCAGGTGGCTGAAGTCCCGAATCTCTAGATCCCTCTGACCATCATCTGGACCCTCCTCCTCATGCGTGTGGGGGGAGTCCCCCTTTTCATTCCCAATCTCCATATATGTCTATCCTGTACATTTCTGAATTCTTTTTAAAAATCACTATTAATAGTGTCTCCTCACACTAGAACGTATGCCCCACGACAGTGGAAACTTGGCTTTGTTGAGTTCTGCATCTCTATCACCTAGCACAGTCCCTGGCATAAAGCAGAGGCTCCGTACACAGCAGCAGATGCCATGTACTGGCCTTGCTCAGCTCTGCCAGTCCATGGCTACCAAAGGACATTTGCATCTGCCCTGCCTACCCCAAAAGAAATGCGGCACAACCATCCCCAGTGACTGGCAAGTTCCTCTGGGTGTCTGCCTTTCACTCTGGTTCACATCAGTCCTCTGAAGATTTTAGTTCACAAAAAATGTCTGACTTCAGCCCAAAAGAGTAAAGAGAAAGTAGAGGCTTTGGAATAAGTAGTACATGGATTTAAATCTCAACAACCTCACTTACCAAATGCATAACCTTGGGTTAAGTCACTTAATAATCAGTTTCTTTAACCATAAAAGGGAAGTGACTCCTACGTCATATGATTGTTCTGAGGATGAGATCAGATAAGGATAGGAGGGCCCTTAAAAAAGGTCAGTTTCCCGTTAGGGACCAACAACTCTGATGTCCATCTCATACCTTCAGGCCTCATTACAGACTCTGATCAGGGCACCATCCTGCCTTCAGCACCTGGCACTCAGATGCAGATCCTTCACAGGAGATGCACACATCCATCCTGGGCCACGACAGGCAGTCCCGGCTGAGCACTGGACTTGTCCTCCCACACCCTCTTGGGCTCGCTCCTGTGAGCTAACCACGTATATCTCCTCCCCACGTGGCTCTATCTGCCCCCATGTCCCCACTCCACCCCCACGGGCTTGACACTATGGCACTGGGCTCTGCATAGGCCATGGGGCACTGGAGATGTTCTCTGGCTTTATCAGCCCATGAGAAGCTCTTGTGGAAGGAGCCAGTAAGAAAGCAAACTCAGTCTATGCTTCCCTCACAGTCACTCCAAGTCTCAGAAAAGCAAAGCAAAATGAGGGCCTCCCACAGACAGCCGGCTGGTGGGAAAGGGCGGTATCTCTTACATATCTCAGAGGGAGGCAACATGCCCAAAAAAGTGACCAGCACAAGGTACAGATCCTCTTTAAAGCTGTGGCTGCAACCTCAGGGACACTCAAGCCAGGGGACAGTGCCAAGATATGCATTAAACAATTCACAGCACTGATCGGACCAGGATTCAATGGAATAGAGAAGGTGCTGACCAATCAGGGCCCCTGGCAGGGCCTCTCCCCCACAACTCCCAGCCAAGCCACACCACCTCGGCTCCAGAGCCACCAGCTCTGTTAACCTCTGCTGGATCCGGGATGGAGAGGCCCCACGCTGCCTCCTGGCTCCCAGACCTCAGAAATTCAAAGGTAAGGAAAAAAGTGCCAGATACGTTGGCCCCTCTCTGAGGGGACACCAACTGTTCTGCTAGCCTCATTGGCAACACACAATACCCCACGTCGTGTCTATAGAACCCAGGCTGGTGAGCAAGGAGAACAGAACCAGATGAGGGACAAAAATAGGAAAATCAGCAGGGAAACACCAATCCCAATTCTGGAAACATCAGAGGCCACAGAGACAACTGCATGGCCAGGAGCAAAACCAACCTCCCCTTTACTTCCCACCCTGGTTTTCCCAATCTAACCAAGGACAGGGCTATTCATGGGAGTGGGGGTCACCAAGAGCTATGCCCAGGGACGCACTGCACATGTGAGGGCTGAGACTCCCAAGCACAGCCAGCAACTACATATGGCTCCGGCCCTACAGCCAGCACTGGCCAGACTCTAGCCAATACTCCTTGAGGGCCTTGGCTCACTCCTCTTAAGTCTCCCCAGCTGCACCCAAGTTGATATCTCTCCATTCTAACACCCACTGCCATCCCTCACTGCAGTACTGCTGGAGGGCTGAGACCTGTCAGAGCCCTTAAAGGAAGAGACATCAGACTCTTCCAAATAGCCCTGGATCCCTCAGGCTGCTCACAGCCAACCTAGAGACTCATCTCAAATGGATAGAGAAGAAGATAAAAATAACAGGAAGCAGAATTGGCCAGTCTTCCCTGGATAGCGACGGGAGTAGCATGGGGAAGAGAAACCTCCACCCCGACTGTGACATATGAGCAGAGAGAGGTGACCACTGTGTGGCCAGAGGTAGGATCCCATAGGTGCCTCCGAAAATTACCCAACATCATTCTTTTTCTCTTTAGAGCTCAGACCAATCTGCTGTTGGCTAGTTCCAGCTGGCTCTACTGGCCGAGAACACTGTAGTCATCTACTCAGTAGGAGAGAGACTTCCTGGTGATGGGCAGGCACCAGGAGTCTGCTTTGTGAATTGTATCAATGATGCAACTGACCTCCCCCATTCTGCAGGCCATCATCGTTTTTCATTTTTAATCACCATTGCTATTATTGTGACCAGCAACAAGTGAGGCAGACAAAAAGCATTTGTCAACTGTCTAGAAATGCTTTGCAATGGCTTACTGGATCAGGGATTTTGTTTTTTAAGGCAAAGGTAATGAAGTCCTAGAGGCAGAAAGTGGCTCATTGAAAGAAGCCCCCAAAGTAGGGAAAGAGACCTAAAGCTCACTGCTTAGCCCAGTTCAAACTCCAGACCACCAACCTAGACTAAGCCCGATCAAGGCAAAATGTATCTGGAGTGAGACAGGCCATCCACTGAGACTACACAGGGAAGAGAATCTCCAGGCCCCAGGAAGGCTCCCAGGATTACCGAGGGGTTAAATCCAGAACCTCCTGCTGGATGCTGGAGCTAAGGAGAGCTTCTATTCACTTACTGTGGGAGGCCCAAATGCTCTGCCAACTGCCACACCTAGCAATGCTCCCAGCCATCTCCCACACATCCGCACAGCCCGACCACTTCAGCTGCCCATCCTGCCCCCAGTCCTGTGCTCATTACTAACCCCATTCACAGAAAAGCCAGAAGCAGGAGAATGCAAAAAAGAGAACAATTGTTTGGGAGATTCTGAATGGAGTTGTCTGAGGTTCCCCCACGGAATAAGAAAAATGGTGTTCATGGGAAGGAATGAGGCTGGGGGAAGGCTAGAGGGAGCAGCCCATGCTGGACTTACCTGGGAGGCAGGTAGTGGAGTGGTTAAATCCTATTTGCTTGCTGCATCTGGTTTCCAATAAGCAACTTGGTGATGATTCACTGACAAGACTGGGGTCATGTCACAACACTCAACACACTTGTGGTCACAAAATCATAAAAATTGGTGGCTCAACAGCACCTATGAGAGGAAAGGGGAAGAGCCAACCCATCTTGCCCTGAACCAGCCAGCCCAACATGCTCACCCACCACCAAAACTCCTTCCAAGGACAGCTGAGCCCAATCTGCCCAACTGCAGCCAGATCTCCAGAAACCCCAAACGGGGGTAAGGATGGAGAGCAGACACAGGTCCAGGATGCCAGTCACTGAGTTTGCCCTCATATATCCTAAAGAAAATCAAAGGGAGGAGGAAGTGGTGGAAGAAGGCAGAGAATACAAGAGGTCTGAAAGAAGGAAAAGAGAGGTCAAAAGACGTCCTTGGGTAAAGCATGGCAAACAGGAAAGCAGGAAGAGAAAGCAGAGGCTGGTCTTTGACGCAGGCCACAACTGTACCTTCAGCTACATCACGTGCCCCTAGCTTCTCTCCCTCCAAACTCAATATCCACTGGAGAGCTATCAGCCCCTCCTGTACCTCATCCCACATCAGCACACTCATCTAGCATGACCTTTCAATCTATCAGCATCTGAAATACAGGAGGAAAGTAAGCAGCCCTGAACCAGACAGACACACATACATACACACATACATACACACGCACACACGCACACGCACACACACACAAACACCCCTTCCCAGATTAAAAGGCCCTTGGAGATGGCTCACGCTCTCTAGGTTCTGGTTCTCTGATAGAAGTGCTCCACTCCCACAGGGGAGGGCAGACACGTCTGATAAGAATTGCTTAGCACAATGCTATATATAGTCTAGGTTCCTACCAGCCTGGAGATGTGGAGCTAGAACTTGGCAGAGAACCATGCTAGGTGCTGGCAAGGACCATCCTCCCGCTGCCAGCCAATGGGAAGCCTCACTTCCCGGCCGGGGGCTGTGAGGGCACGCAGGGTCCTTCCAGGCAGCCCATTAACACTCCTCACTGAGGGACACAGGCTGTTGGCTCCGTTTTAGGGAAAATCAACTTCTCCTAAATGTGAGGGGGATGTGTGGGGGCTGAACAGCAAATTCTAGCCTCTCTGCAGCTATCCAGTAGCATGAGAATATCAATCTAGTCCTCTCTTCTGGAGGACTAAGGGCGGGGTGTGTGGGAGAAGCCTGAAGAAGACATAGCAGGTGGCTGGGCTCAATAAACATCTATCCATTTCTGATGTTCGAAGAAATAAAGGAATGTAAAAGAATGCAGACGAATACTTACTGCAGAGTGTGGGGCTGCCAGGCATCTCCTTTTTTTGTTCCAAATACATGCAAGTGAGCCACTCTATCCGGCAGTATGACGGCTGTCTCCGGCACACTGGCACCATCCTCAGCTGAGCCTGAGTCGCCAAGAGGTTGTCACCCACTCACAAAGCAAGCTGCATTCTCCTGAGTCCTCTGTGAGGAAGAAGAGAGAAAGGAAGACAGGTGGGCTCAGCTCACAGAGCCAACCATGCAATGAATTGAGCAGATCCCAGGCAGGGTCCCATCTAAGGTTAGTACGTGGCTGTGGGATGATGACCCTCAGGTGTTGTCCACCACCCAATGACAGAAACAAGACAATGCTGGGCAAAATGACATGGGTCCTATGTCCTGGAGAAAGGGCAGTAATAGAGGGTACAGGGTCTGATGAAGGAGGGCCTGTCTACCACCTCTTTCAGAAAACGATCCTGAGAGACCACAGAGCTGCCTGAAGCCCAAAATCCAGGCTCTTGTCATATACACAGCTTCGGACAAAAAAAAAAAAAAAAAAAAATGAGACACGAAAGGTTCCAATGTCCAAATACATACAATCTTTTTAGGTCAAGCTGCTCTCTACTCGGGTGCAAAACATGACACGAAGGAGCCGTCTCTGCCTTTGCGCTCTGGGTGGGGACGACTGGCTCCCATCCCCTGTCCTGCTTAAACTCTCATGTGACCTGGTCACATCTCCCTGTCCTGCTCTGGCTCCCAAGGCCCAGGAGCCACTCCTACCAGAGATCCCAAATGAGTCACCCTGGGAGGTCCTTGGAGAGAAGAGGAGGTGCTCAGTGACAAATGTCACTGCTAGCATCATCAGCGGGAAAGCATGAGACTGAAAAATAGTACCCGGCGAAAGGAGGGAGGGGGCTTCGGCCAGGTTGTCCCTCATCCCTATACGCGACTGGCTGCCCCTCTGCCCCACACTCTGGCTGAGGAGGTAAAGAAAGGGAAGGACGGTTTGGCCGGGATTCCTCGGCGGTGGAAGCGCATCTTCTTTCTCGGTCGCAAAAGGGCGGGGCAGGGCGGGGCTGGGCGGGGCGGGGGGATCACGCGCCTATGGCGCATGGCTGCGGTATCGAGAAAAGTCTGGAACCCGCAGCCGCCATGATGACGACAACAAAATTAAAAGGGTCAAGTACTCAAGGCCCACTGTTTCACCTAAGAGGACAATGAGGAAGATGAAGGGGAGAAGAGAAGCTCTGATTTGGGTCAATAAGGAAAGGGGAGGCTGACGCAGGCTGCCCAAGAGCCGGCCTTTGGCGCATTGACGGTGATGCGGTTCCGCCATCTTGAAGGGCCGCGCGGCAGAGGACGCTGAAGACGCCACAGCCCCACCACGGCCACTTCTCCCGGGGTCCAGGCGCGCCCGCGTTCGCTGAGGTCGTTCTGGCCAGCCCCCACCCTAAGAGGCGAATCGCCCTTCATTCGAGGCAGTGACCACCAAGACTGTCACAAACAACCACAGAAGAAATCCCAAAGGGCTTTGAGAGACGTCTGTCTTCGGGGACTAAGTGGAAGAACTCAAAAAATGACCCTATTTGCCAAACTCAGATCTAACAACACACACAGCTGTTATTTTCTTTTCAGACTCTAAATGCAAGAGTTCACAGAGCCCTGCTGAGTTACCTGGTGTCGCCCCATCCTGCTGCCCGGGCAGCGGGTGCCTTCGCTGTCCAGTCCTCCCTGAAAATGACCCCAGGCTAAGGATCAGCCCAGAGCCCCAAGCTGTTTTTGCAGCTTTCATGTTGACAGAACATCCTGGCCACTCTGCTGAGAGCTCCATCTCCCGGCTCCCGATACACTGAGTCATCTTCCAAAGAGGAAAAAAAACAACAAAGCAGCCGTCACCAGGGTCCCCATTGCCGTCGACTGACGACTCACTGGCTGTCGTCACTCTGCTCCGCGGCCCCCGAATTGGTGACGAGGGGCTTCAGGGTGCCCAACTCCCCTCCCACGGGACTCAGCAGCATCAGGAAGCAGGCAGCCACTGCTGAGATTCGGAAAGAAGGGAAACTAACCTGCCACGAGAAGACTCCCAGGAAGGCTCACTGACCCTCCCTCTGCCGACACCAACCCCCACAACTCTGTGCCCACAGCATGTTCCCGATGCAGAAGTAAAGGGGTATTTACGCCAGGTGGGAGACAGCACCGCCTTGCAGGGTGGAGGTGCGTAATGCTTAAGTTACCTCCTCCCTGCCCTTTCTGTGACACCACTTAGGGCACAGGAGCTCCCATCTCCCCCATTTCTTGTCTAGCCCCCCTACACTCCCCTTTGAAGTCCCTGATAAACCACTAGGCAGGGATGGGAACCTATTTGCTGCCCATATATTAGGCATTTCTGTATAACAATTGTACTGGCTCCAACTCACTGACCGAGGACACGAAAACTTAGAGAAATCATATGACCTGTCTAAAGTGACCCAGCTAAGAAGAGGCAGGATCACAATGAAAACCTAGGTCTATCCAAGTCCAGTGTCTCTGCTCCCTGCTCTCTAATTCTGGAGCTTATTCTGGCTTTGAAGTTGCTGTACCCCACTCCACCTTCTTGTAGGAGGAAGGCAACCAGGAAAACTGAGTCAGTTAACCCATCAATTTCAGCTACAAAAAAACAAAAAACAAACAAACAGAAAACCCCATCATCTTGAGTGAACCTGACCACAAAGGAAGAGGAGAAAGTTAATGACAGTGTCAAGGAACAGCTAGGTGACCTAGACCATGGACACAAGATTGACCACCCAAACTCCCACAGAGCATTAGGGACTTACAAAATTCCTTAAATAGACAAATTTTGGGGATCTACTTCATAACAGGCATCTTGTAAAGAGTTCGGGGAAGAAAAATGTAAAGACGTTGGAAGACCAGGGATGCTCCGCACAGGGCTATGGAAAGGAATAAATGAAATAACTGCAGGAAAAGTGTCTAACATGGTATCTGTCAAACAGAAGGTACCAAATAGGTATTTGTTTTCCCTCTCCTTTCTCTAGCCTCCCTCCTAGAGCTCCTAATCTAATAGGTGACATAAGACTTATACACAAAGAATCATAACAAAACAAGAATACCATAAAAAGGGACAGACCGTGTGCAAGTTCGGCCGAATGGGCGGGGGTGGTTATGAGAACTGCTGCTTGCAAAGGCAATCAGGAGAGGTCCATGGAGAAAGTGAGACTGCCACAGGTGGACGAAGAGGAGAGGAGGCGTGGAAAACATCATTGGTGAAAACACATAGGAAAAGCAAGAAAAAGGAAGTTGCTTGGTTTTGTTGGAAACTGTGGTCCACCAAGAGAAACTGAGAGAGGTAAGACTGTACAGGAAAGCTAAGGCCAGTTACGGATAGCATTGAACATCACGCTAAAGGAAAGGAATTTTACTCTGGGAATGATGAGAAACCATTTTAACTTTCTGAGCAAGAAAGACAAGATGGCCGCTGCACGCAGGAGGGCCTGGAGAGAGGGGGAATGGGCAGGAGCCTCACAAGAGGACTACAGCTGGAACCATGGCACTGGCAGGAGGCATGGAGGAGAAACAGAGAAGAAAAACAGTAAGCAGGCAGGACCATCTGAACAGATCCTCAATGCTGCCATGGACCTTACTTCCCTGTCCCCACGGGGAGGCTGCTGGAGACAGAGCCTATTTGGGGAACACAAACCACGGGTCTGACACGTCTGAGATGAGCTGCCGAGCCTCTGCCTCCACTCTCACCCAGACACTCAGCTTTTCCTAACTACTCAAAGCCTCAGGCTGATGTGGACGTGGGAAACCCACATTCTGGCAAAGCCGGGCCCAAATAGTGAGCCCCTACCCAGACACCTTCCACCTGAATCCCCACCCAGGACTGTGTCCAAGAGTGGGACTGGGCGGCTCTGCCCCTGGAGCCACCTTCACTGCGGCAGCCACCACTGCGCCCGCCTCTGCTGTGCTTTTGCCCCCCCTTCCCCTCCTCCGTCATAGCCCCCGCCCCCCGCCCACTCTGCGGAACTGGCACAGCAGGACAGAAAAACCAACGCCACCATGTCGGAGACCAGCAGAAATGGCTCCAAAATGGCAGCTCATCAGAGGAGTCCAGAAAGATGATAAACGCACTCAGGAAAAGGAGGGGAAGCCAGTGACAAGGGGCGTAAACTGTCAAAACTGCCTCCCAACCAAGCCCTCCCATAATCATCACATCTTTTCCTTCAGAAACATCCTCTCAAAAATCAGATGGGACATGAGTGAAAGAAGGGTGCCACCCTCTCCACCAGAGAGGCCCTAGGGCCCAGAGGTGGTATATGGGGTACTCAGAAGAGGATGTTCTGCAGCCCCTTCACCAAGATGGGGCTAGAAAACCACTTCTGTCCTCAAACTTAGCTCCTCACACTAACTGGACATGAGTTAGCCCTCCCAGGGATTGCAATCCTCCACCGCTCCCCAGTCAGACCCTCCCCAGCTTTGTGGGCCCTGGGGAGTGAGAAGGTAGGGTTGCAAGGAAGGGCCGAGAAGGCGCGTGCCATGCCCTCAAGTTATGTAATAAGAAGGGCGGTGCTCGTCCTAGGCCAGAGACCCAGGGCGCACTGCGCTCCCAGATGCGCAGTCATGGGTGGGGGCCACTGCGCATGGCGCAGCGCTTGGTAAACCCCCTCCCCACAAACATGAGACCTGCAACAAGGACAGGTTAGAGAGCAGGGACCCTGATTTTTCGAGGCCTCCCTCCCCCAACCAAAGGTGAACAGCCTGCTGCCCTAGTTTTACTCTGACTCTCCTCATTCCCTACACTGACAAACCTTTCTAGCCCGGGGCATCCAAACCACCCATCTCCCACTGACTTTTCTGGAAATCCCACCAAATACGCAGTTTCCAAGCAATTTCCTGGGGTCAGTCCCCCATCCTCACCTTTCCAAGCACCAAGTAGTAGTAGCTTCCAGAAGGTAGATCTTTCCCATACTGGGCTCAGCTCACAACTGGCTCCTATGGGCCTCTGGACAGCCCCGGACGTCAATGCAAATCTCTTGTCCCCAGGGAGTAGCCCAGAGTCAGCAGGAAGCCCAGGGTGGTGGTAATATCAGCAGCAGCAGCTCTGCCCTACCTTGCCCATGCGTTTCCAGGGGAGCCGAGAATTATTTTGCCGCAACACTGAGGTGTGGCTGATTGGAAAATTTCCTTTTTCAACACCAAACTACAGGATAAATATTTTCTTCCAATTTGGTCAACCCTCTGCACACCCATCTCCCTAGCATTCTTCCCTCTAAATAAAGTTTTGAGAGCCCTGAGCTCTTCTTCCTTATAGTGCATGAAATTTTAAAAGGCATAGGAAGAGGCTTCAACTGGGCAGTCAAAAGCAGGCATAGACACAGGAGCCTACGCACACCCCTAAAGAGATTTTAGAAAGCTGCTGGGCTTCTCCCCCCTCCCCTTTAAGCAAGTGAAATGCAAATTCAGAGTTGATACCCTGCCCTGAGCCAATCACAAAAAGCTTTTCACCTGCCATTGGCCCAGCCACCAATCAGAGGAAGTGTCTGGAGGGAGAGCCCTCCCCTGGCCAATGGAAGGCCAGCTCAGTCACTTAGTTAATGATGCAGCAGTACAGGGAAGGCCATCACATGTGAACTGGAAGGGAGCCAACATGGAGACACAGAGAGCGCAAGGTAAACAACTTTCCAACGCCAAAAGGATGACATTTAATCTCTAAATGCTAGCTTCCCTTCTCAGCTCATCCTTAACCCCTCTCAGCTGGCCGCAGAGGCCCCAGGAGCCTCACTACCTGTCCCCCAAGAGCTCCTAACCAGATGCAACAGTGACTGCGTCACCATTCCCCACTTTTCCCAACTACGCAGTGACAAACCTACCAGCTTTACCCCACTTCTCCCAGCCCACACCCCACCCTGGCCACTCGGCTCCCCACAAGCCTCAGATTGCCAGGGCCAGACCTTTCAATAAGGCAACCCCTGGGAAAAAACTGTCCCTCTGTCTTTTCGGCACTTCTCACTCCCCTACCTTCCACGTAAGACCTGCACGGACAGACAGATGGACGCTGACACCCAAACAACCTGGAGAACCAGTCATCTGTCCACTAGAAGGAAATAGGGTAAAGGCTGGGAGGTCAGGTGGGAAGCAGGGGATGGTTCACTCTTCTCTACCCCGGTCAGGCTTGAGCAGCTGACACTAGGGGAAAGAAATTAAAGTGGGAAAAAACCCTCCCTCAGAGAAATAAATAGCCAAAATCGAGAAAGAAGGTGAGAAAGACAGAGCACCCACATACACAGAGACAGCGTCCCTGATCCCAGTAAATACATACGTGGGGGAAGAAGGGGGTTACGCCATCAAGTCCTGAAGCCCGTCGGACCACCCATCGTCGCCTGCGCAGACCCAAATCTCGGTCCCGCCGTAAGGTGCCGCAGTCCCGAATGTTCCAGAATTTGGTCCCGTCAAACCTTCCACTGTTGCCCCGCAACCTCTTGCTCCCACCCCTGCCCCCCCCCACCACCCCACCTCCTCCCCGCGGGAACCGCCCGTGCCACCTTGCGTGTCATCTCCTAGCCTAGGCTACCCAGAGGCCTCTGGCCCCGACAGATCTCTGAACGCTCAGCAAGTGAGCTGGCAGAACCTGGTGCCGGTGTTGCTATGACTTGTTTCTTGATTTCTCTCTCTCTCTCTGCTGCAGCACGGCTGTTGCTAGCAGACCTATCGACGGAGCTTGCTCACTCTCTCTCTCTCTCTCTCTCTCTCTCTCTCTCTGAGCTCTGTGACGCAGATCTAAATTCTCCAGTCTGCTCCTTGTGTTGCAAGAGCAGAACTGCAGCTTTTCCCCTGGAGAGTCGGAGGGCAGTGCCAAGGCTGGTCAAACAAGGCAAAAAAAGTTGGGCCTACACTCTGCTTCCTTGGCCACACTTTTCAGCTCGCCCCCTCCCACCTCACCCCTCCTGCACCTCACTGTTCTGGGGCATAGAGGTCCCTGTCCTTGCAGGCTCCACTCCTTCCCTGAGGGCTTCCCAGGCATAAGACTAGCTTAACTCTTTGAGTGGCAGCCCCCAGCGCCCAGACAGGGCTGCCCCATACTAAATGTTGCAACATCTTTTCTTGAGCCATATGGGCTTCTCCAGCCCTGAGAAAAAATGTTCCTCACCCTGACCACTGTCCCATTAACTCTTTGTGCCACAGACAAGTCCAGGATTACAACCATAGCTGACTTCTGTTTTTTTTTTTGGCCACAAACCAGGACCTTTTTCTCCCTGGAATTTCCTAAGGACAAAAAGCATAATTAAAACATTGCCTGCCTGCCCCACAAATGAGATCCTTCTATCAGGGCAGGAATTTGAAAAACCAAATTGAACTTCAGCCTGAAGAATCCAGAGTAAAGCCAATCTGGATCTCCATTCTTCCTGGGCTCAAGATTTTAGGGCCTTGTTAGATACGTTCAATTACTCTTCAAAAGGCCATACAGTCTCAGAGATTCAGGTTGCTGAGTCATTTGTTCCCAAGAAGATCTTTCTGACAACACGAAAAGCAGCAAAACAGAACAACAGCCAAGCTTGGACCTGAAGTGGCCAAAGACTGTGTTCTCCTCTCCAGCATGGGCAGTCAAGCAAGATAAGCATCCACCAGCCGACTCCAAACCCCTCCACAATGTTCATGCATGGATGTCGACACTCCTGGAAACTCTTCCACGGAGGGGCGGCCCACCAATACTCTGGAGCTAGAGTGGGGTTGTTTTTGGATACTCACAGGTCTCCACTGTGGCAAGCAAAGAGCTCCCAACATTTTCCTGCCCCTCCCCACAGACCCAAAAATGCTTCCAGGAATAACTGAGATGCTAAGCCACTAGACCCTACATACCCAGACAGACCCAGGGAGTGTCAGGTTCCCACAGTGCTACATCAAAAGAATGCAGAAAGGTTCCTGACAACCAGTTGTAATGTATGAGCCTAGACTTGACCAGAAGTGAATGATACATTCAGGTCGTGGGTCAGGTGACTCATGAAGTGTATCACATCAAGAACTTTGCACTTCCAGGAAGATGAATGAGAATGTGAGGCCAGGCAGCCACCTAATCCCATATCCACTTCCCAGGCAGCCTTCAAGCAACTACTCTGGGCCAAAGTTTCATCCAGCAGAAAGGAGGACCACTTGGAAGACAAGCATGGCACTACACAGTTTTAAAAGAAGACTAGAGTATCTGTGCCAGGCTCCCAGCAGGGGGGAAAGTGCTTCAGATTCACACCTTCTGGGCTCCAGGGTTGAGCATGCCAATAAAGAAGTCGCCTACTTGTCTGATGACCAAAGGAACGTGGCCTTGATGGCACTAAAGCAAGTCCCCCAGAATGGTCCTCTGCTTACTTAAATCTCATCTGCCGTAGTTTCCTTCTCCATGGAAGAAAAACATGCCTAAGTTCATGTCAGGACATTCCTGATTTATCCAAGAGCCCAGGATCAAATAAACAAAGGGCTCTGAGCTCTGCCAGGGAGCCTCCTCCTTCAGGAGGGAGAACTAGAGGGAAGTAGGCTTGGTACAGAGCTGGCCCATCACCCCATGAACTTGGTGAGTGACGTGGCTGCTTACTGCCATGGCGATGGGGATGTTACGGGTGGGTGGAAGTGAGAGAAGAGGCAAATAAGTCATGAGAGACAGAGCGAAAGCCAGGCAGGGTCAGAGAAGGAACCTACACAGCAACAGAATTTAGAGAGGCCGACTGTAGTCTATAACCGCAGCAAAATTGAGCTGAGTCCCTGCAAAGATAAGTCCCCATCTCAGGGGTGCAGCAAGGACCCACTGTGACTCAAAAAGTACTATGCCAACATTACATTCAGCAAGGCTTTGTTTCATTTTCCCTCTAAATCTTTTCCTTCCCATGACTCCGTTGATAACGGCTTTGATGACTAGAGGAATACTAGGGTTTTTGGTTTTGCGGTGGTTTGAATAAAATGGCCCGGACATATGTGGAGTCATTTTAAGGAGTGGAGAATTTCATAGCCAAGACAGAAGGAAGAGGCTTTTCCTGTACAGAGACAGAGGGAAGGGGTCTTTAGGCTGAAAGAGGGAAACTTGAGTGTGCAGAAAACAGCCAGTTATATGAGGAGGCAGGAGGAGGCAGGATTAAAACAGTCATTTTAGGTGCCTCTGTCCAATTCTAGGTCTTCCTTCTATTAACCTGATTCTACGAGGCGCTGAGAACAGAAAAACCCGAATGGGATGACCAGGAAGCAGAAATGAATTCAGTTCCAAAAACATGGGAGGATGTTTACTTAGCAAGCACGCTCGAGCCTACAAGGAAGCAGTTTTACAGGGTGCTGCATACAGTGTTTGATTTCAGGGAGCAAAGATAACTTCGGAGTGAGGAAAAGGTACTGGTTCCTTCTACTCACCCTCGGAGGCCTGGGGAGGCCAGGCCAGCGCAAACTTGAAAAGACAGGGCTTCAGCTCAAGCCTAACAGGTCGCTGGCTCTCTTTGGCTTCTCAGCAGCTACCGGCCTCAGGAACTAAACAAACTCTCCAGACTTCATGAGCGTTCCGTGACCTCTGACTGATTTGGGTCAAAACTTCGAAATGCCAAAGACAAAGAATTTTTTTTCTTTAAAGGGAATGAGCTGAACTTTGACCCGCCCTTGTTCAGGGTGTGGAATGCAAGCACTGTGTACCGGCCACAAACTCCAGTTCGGCAGGCAACAGCCGGGAAAGCAGGCTTCACGCTGACCTCCCTGTCCTGTTTCTTCTTTAGGGCCAACTCAATGGGGTCTAGGTCTTTACCTCGCTCTTCAGATAGGGGAGCTGTGAAGGAGACAGATTCCAATCTCTGTCATCTAGAGCTAGAGTGGATGTTCTAAATAAATCTGGCAGCGATCCGGTATCAGGCAGAACTGACAGGCCCAATCCACAGCAAGATGGCATTTCTGTTCACTGCCTGGGAGCTGGTGGACAACAGGTACTTGGTTACCCTCTGAGGTACATCATTAATAAGTACCTACTAAGTGCTAACCCAATATACAGCACAGGAAAAGCACGAGACACAGGCCATCATGGAGAACACACACATTCTAGCTGAAACTAAGTATTCCCAAATTTGTATTGCTGATATTTAAAACATCTGCTTACTTTAAAAGCTGAGATCCACTTTTGCAATGAAATTATATCAAGCATACTGCTTGGTTCCCAGGCTAGCTCACAAAAGCGCATTTATCCATTCCAGGAAGTCATCAACTCCAACGTCTTCAGAGGCCAGGCAGATAATGAAAGAGCACAGTGGGCTGCGGAGGGGACGTGCCCGGTGGAAGGACCGTGCCACTCCTGATGGGCCGCCCTCTTGGGCCTACCTGCTGGGGACCATCTGGGAACAGAGACCCAAAGAGTCCAGATCATCCAGGTTTTCAGGACAAGGTGGAACTAGCTTTATGTTAAACTCCCGATTTTTTTTTTTTTTTAACACTGTCAAGATATTTTAACTGTCAGAACATACCTACAGAGCTTTCAGTTTGGTATCCTGGTTGTCATGTATACAGGATACAATACATTTGCAATGAAAAAAAGAAAAAAAAAGCAAGCATTGCCAGAGTGAGGAATTAAATAAAATAAAGGACATGACCAAAAAGGAAAACTTTACCTCACAGATGTGCTATTTGAGGAAAATAATAAGCATAGAGGAAAATGAGGAAAATTTAAACCTTCTGGTCAATGGCTGTCAACTAGCTGTGCCCTGAGGGCTGCAGATGGAGAGGTATATTGAAATGACTTCCAAGTATATGTGATTTCACTGAAGTACTAATAATATGTGTGCCCCATCCTGACCTGCCAGCCAGGCAGAAAAGTCATGCTGATATACTGGCTCTATCCCCCAGTTGAGAGCGCTCCTCTGGACATCCACAAAAGGTCCATCCAGGGCTTTGGTGATAAGATTGGAAGGGCTTATCATAATCCAGCTGCCCATCCAAGGCACAGGGCCCTCCACAGAAACCACTGTGACCAAGTCATCGTCTAGCCCCCACTTGATTCAGTAACTCCCACCACACCTTTGGAGGGCTCAGACAAGTGGAACGTAACTGAGATGAAATCTCTCTGCAGGGAAATATTAGCCTTCAGATCTCCACTCTGCCTCTGGAGCCCCAGAGAACAAGCCTACTCCCACAAAGACTTTTGAGACATTTTGGGATAGTTTTTACAACCACAAGTTTTTAGGCTAAACAAGAAGATACAAAAAGGGATATTAAAAAGGAAGGGTGGGGGGAAGAAGCCAGAAATATTCTTGAAATAGCTCATCAATAGTTAACAAGCCAAAGGAAAAGAGGAAGAGACACAGGCATTCATGAGAAAGGAGCCTCCTGTGGCCAAATCAACAGCAAGTGAAGAAGCACATGGGAAAGGAAGGGCCCACAGTCCACACACTAAGAAAATGCCAAGAGCCACTCGATCAAACAGTTCCCAGGGCCAGCCACCAGGCTGTGCCAATGATCCAGGACATATTGGTTAGAACCTGGCACTGGGAGAAGGAAACTGTATACAACTCACAATTGTAAGCATGCAACATTTTTCTGTCCAGCTGGGGAAAGGGATTCTTTTTCTGATGGATTTGTTGGTGTTATTTATAAATTCTGGATATGAATCCACTTGCTAGTTGTAGGCACTGAGAGTATCTTCTCCTCTCTGCTTGCCTTCACTCTCTTTTATTGATGTCATTTGATGATCAGAGTTCCTCATTTTAATGACATCCAACTTATCAATCTTTTCCCTTAGAGTTAGTGCTTTCTGTGTCTTCTTTAAGAAATGTATGGCTACCCCAAAGTTATAAAGATAGATTGACGATCACTCTGGAATTTATTTTTGTATACAGTCAAGATGCATTTCTTTCCTGTAGATATCCAGTTGAACCAGTACTGTTTATTAAAATAACCATCCATTCCCTACTGCCCAGCAGTGCTCTCTTAGTCATAAATTAGGTGTCCAGATACATATGGGTCTGTTTCTGAGCTCCCTGTTCCATTTCTTTGGTTAGAAATAAGACAGACAAACAGGTCTGTTATTACAGTGTAGATCACTAATTGTAAATCAGGTGATTTTAATATGTCTACAAGTAAAGTTTAAGAAAATATAGACTGAGGGGCCAATTGTGATGGACATGCATAGTCTGAGAAGAGAACTCTGGCCTGGGCTTCTCAGAATAAATAGGATGAGCAAGAATTGGCAAAGAAATGGCGTCACAAGCTAAGGAAGGGGACAGCAAGAAGAAAGGCACAGAAAAGTAAAAATCAGCCTTTTTTTTTTTTGTGGACAGCAACATAGTGATTAAGAGTACAGACTCATACAATTTAGGAGACAGCTTGCATCCAAATCCCCTAATACTATTTAGTTGTGTAACCTCGGGCAAGTTACCATGGCGTTTTTGAGCCTCAGTCTCCTAATCAGCAAAATGGGGATAATCTTTCTCATTGAACTATAAGTGGGTTAACTGATCATATCATTTAGTACAGAGCTTAGCACTGCAAGCATTCAAAAAATGCTGTATGCTATCATCATCATCATTAGTGACACCATGGAGAACAGTTGGACTGTTAGAGCAATCCTGCCATTCAACCAGCATTTACAGAGTACTTAACTACCAAACAAAAATATTACATAAAGTGGTTAAAAACTGTAACTCAAAAATGAGATAGCTTTGAATCTGAATTCTAGTGCAGCCTCTTGACTAATTATATAAATTTGAACAACTTACTTAACCTTTCAAAGTTTCTAGTTTCAGCTTCATCCATACTTCATAGGGATTTTCTTGGAGAAGATATGAGATACAGAAACAATTCAGCACTAGGCCCAACACAAAATAAGTGCTCAGTTAATCCCAGCTATCACTATGATGATGAGGATCACAATAACAGTGACATAAAGATTTTGCATTTGGTAGAAGAAAAAGCCTAACATCTCAAAAAACTTAGAACACCTAATATTCTCAGGTCTTCCATCCAAGTAGTAATCAGGCACAACCATACCTAGCTTCATATTGACAAGATAAGTAAACAAAATCAAGGGTGTTCAAGTGGTAGGCCCAAGACAAATGAGGAGCTTGGAAAAAAGAAAGGTTGGAGAAGCCAAGTAAAAGCTAAATTACTGGGATAGTTCAATACCTGATAAGGAAGAGATGAATTTCTAACATTGGGCAACTTCCAGAAGAAACTAAAACAGAAAATCTAAGTATATATAGTCACAAAAAGTATGAGAATGTGCTGGGTGTTGGGGTGGGGACAGAAATGGTACTCGTAGAGTAGAAGTCTGATGGCATTCGTGGGGAGAAGGCTCCTAAGGAGCAGTGCCATTAATAGTTGCAGACCAACAGTAGCAATCACGGTGCGGTCACCCTTTAGCCCTGAAGACCACACCATGCCAGTCTCCCAGAGGAACTACCCCAGAGCCACTGAGGAGCTTTCCCCCAACCTAAGAGACTGTGACACTTCCACTTGGGTCACTGAGCTGAAGCAAAACAAGGCCCAGCAGTGACAACAAACACTCCAAGGACATAACGCAGTGCCAGGTGCCAAGTGAAAATCCGAGAGGCAAGGGCTGGGGACAGCCTGTGCCGGAGGGTAGGTGCTGGCGGAGGTGAAATGCAGACAGACTGAGAATGCCGCCACAGACGGGGAGCCAGAGCCAGGCGGCAGAGAGTGAGTGGCCTAGCAGATGCTGGCCAAGAACGTGGGGCTCCCCAGGACTGCAGAGTAAAGGAAGACAAGCAAAGGCGAAGTTGAGTGTTGAGTTCACAGCACAAATGGAAGGGAGCCTGTGTGAAATAAGCCCAAAAGCTGAATAGTGAGGGGCATGTTTGCAGGGGGGAAGGTCAGGCCTGCAATGGCAGGTATTGTGACTAGGATGCTCTGTAAGTAGATGCTTTTTCCTGGACAGACTCAGTATGTCTGTCTTTCAGACCAAAAATCCAGGCTCCAAAGTGTCCTGCCCAAGCTGGCTCCCACCACGTCCTGGGAAAGTAAAATAGGCCAAAACATCTATCTTGTCTTAGGCCGCTAATCATTAAATCTAAGCTCCCACCCCAGAGGGGTCACAATTCAGCCATAATCAGAACCCAGCCTGGCAATGGCACTGGCACCTACTATCCTGACCATAGGCTGGGGCTGAGTGAACATGGACACTCCCATAGCCACTGGTCACATTTCCTGCTGCCGAAAACACAGGGGGACAAAGTCTTCTTGGGATGCAGGGAGTAACCCAATGCACCTCTTGGCTGGCTGTTCAAAATCTTGGCCTTGCCAATGGATGGAAATAATTTCCAGAGAGATGGAGTGTGGTTGGGCCACGTGAGAGGGACGTGAGGAGAACATTACCTTATTCCTCAACAGCAGAACCTGTAGCCTGTGCCACAGGCCAGACAAGGCCTGGGTTGGAGGGTCTTGGCCAGACTCCCTCCAGGCACAGGCTGGTGCCCTCAGATGCTGCTGTTGCTCTTGTGGCCAGGAGAAAATGTCTCTAGGGTATGAAGAACCTAGGCCTCTGATGACTCATGGGGCTGTGCTGACCTCTATGTGACCACATGGGTTTAGCACTATGTGACTTAAAAATGGAACCTCTTTCCTGCCTCAGAACCAACTTCTGCTTTGCTTAACTGAGTCACATCTAGAGAGCAGGAATCATAAACACAAGTGGGCAAGAGATTCCCCAAACACTTCTGACTTGAACTTTCATTTCCACACTGCCTTATACCCAATGCAGGGGCACGTCCATACCTGCACCCTAGGACAGAGGAGGAAAGAGACTGGGGCCACTGTGCATGGCCTGGGCACAGGTCTGAGCCTTCAGCAAAGTGCCAGCCTTGCCAGGAGCAGGGACAAAACTTCCAGGGCCAAGGCTCTCAGCCACAGGTGGGAGAGGAGCTGGGGACTGTCTAAAACGTAACAGTTAGTATCATAATTTTGGGTACTATTTGGGATACATTTTCATGTTGTTTTCACAATACAAAACCATACCAAAAGTAAAGTTCCCCAAAACTGATGATGTGAATACTTCCTCTGCACTGGGAGAGGGTATTGTCCAGAATCTTTGGGGATGGGAGACAGTCCTGTGGTTGATTTATTTACCGAAGGTAGGTATTAGAATTACACTCTTTTAGAGGGTCCAGCTTCTGAAGCCCTCTGGGACCACTGGACAGCCATTATTCTCAGGCTAGGATCTGACATAGACCCCTGAGGCCAATGTTCTTTTTCCAAAAGGAGCACAGCAACAACAGCTCTACCTTAAGAGACAGAAGATTACACTTAGAAGATTTCTCCAACGTGACATACTTTGGAGGTGAGAGGAGCAGCCCATCAGTCTCCCTCCAGAAACTTCAAAACCTTCCGAGGCCAGGGTGAGCACTTAGAAAGCAGGCGGGTACTACTGAAAGAACAGCCATTGACTTATTCCCCAAAAATGCGTTTGGGCCCATGTGTCAGGTACAGCGGGAGGCCCTCTTTCAGGAGCTCCACCCTTGGCTGGCAGGAACTCCCTCCATCAGCAAAGGTTGGTAAACTAGGAAAGCAAGATGCTAGGAGGACAGCTGGTTCCTTAATCCAACCCTGGCCCCCCAAACAAGACAGCTCAAGTGCTGCCAGCCCTAGAGGCCCAGGCACTTGGACATCATTTGCTCTATGCCTTTCTGGGGAGGCAGAGCTAAGTGGGGGTTGAGAAGGGACCTACAGGCTCAGTGTGCTCATAAGACAATCGAGAAGTTTCTTGGGCCACGTGCAGTGGCTCATGCCTATAATTCCAGCACTTTGGGAGGCCAAAAGAAGCCAAGGTGGGCAAATCACTTGAGGCCAGGAGTTCAAGACCAGCCTGGCCAACATGGTGAAATCCCATCTCTACTAAAAATATAAAAGTTAGCTGAATGTGGTGGCATGCACCTGTAATCCCAGCTACTCAGGAGGCTGAGGCACAAGAATCCCCTGAACACGGGTGACAGGGGTTGCAATGAGCCAAGATTGCGCCACTGCACTCCAGCCTAAGCGACAGAGCAAGACTCTGTCTCAAAAAAAAAAAAAAAAAATTTGTGGGTATGCTGACCTGAAAAAATTACCCACTAGAACTTCTGAGAGCCCTAAGTCACCCTAAGGGTACAGGAAGGAGGACAGGAGGAGCTGAGATGCTGAGATAAGCTGGGATGCCCCGGCTTACTTCCCTTTCCTAACAGCCAGCAGGAGAACCCTGCTCACAGTGCCCTACCACTGACCTCAAGGGCAGCAGCAGCATCCACAGTCAAGTCATCCCGAGTCATAACCACCATTCCTGCCCCAAACCCACAGTCTCTGTCAACCCCATCCAAATAGCCCAGGATGAGCCACGGGACAGGGCCTTAGAATCCTGGGAGTGTAAGACACCCTCAATATCATCTGGCCTCACCTTCCACAAAGACAAGAGTCAGCCTTGGGTTAGAGTCCAAGGTTGTGGGATCTTGGGTGGGTTATTCCATGTCCTGCCTAAATTCTCTCATCGATAAAGTAGGGCTGATCAGCTCATCATACCCCTCCACAGTGTTGCTGTGAAGATGAGAGTCTTATACGAGTAAAGCGCTTAGCAACAGTGCCTGGTAATACTTGCTGGTAACCTAACAAGTATTCAGTAAGGGGAGTTATGGCTACTGTTTTCATCATTAGCATCTCTGCGTGGCGGCCATTCGCTCTTGTGTAAACACTAATGGCCCACGAAAGGAGCTGGCGACCTGACAGGGTCACCCATCTTTCCTCCCTCACATCCCTCACAGCTCATAAAGCAAGACAGGAATCCAGCTCCAAGCACCAACATCTACTTCTCTGCCACAGATGCCCACTGGC